CCCCTCCCCACCCAATACAATGTTGAAAATCAGAAGAAATTGGAGGTAGTAGTTTTCAACATTGTATCGGGGGTGGGGGACGAGGTCTGGCGTGTGCGCAAAAGCGCCAAAAGTGCAAATTTGTCTCAAGACTTTTGTCCATGATTGTAGGTTGAAAGACTGGACGTGTGTCACAGGGAGCGTGGGTTTATAGCGTCCTTCTTTGATATTGGACATCCATGTTATGGTCAACTGACACCTGTCAAAACAAGGTATCCGCTAACCAGTGTAGCCATATCGCTGGCTCAAGTGTAGAGCTCATCGATGTTACGTGTTTTTTTTAAGTTAAGCGCTGACCAAGTGCTGGTTTTCAATTGGATAGAGACCTCATGTCAGGTTGACTTGTTGTAATCAGGGCCGGGTTGTTCGAAAGCCGGTTAACGCTGACCCAGGATTAAAAGTTAACCGAGGTATGAATTGTTCATGTAATGTCTTTTGCTGCTTTTATTTTAATTCGAAACAGAAGGTCAAACAATATACAGAAAGCCTCACCGAAAAGTCACAAAACTCAAAATTCTCACTTATACTGGGTTAGCTTAATTGGGCTTTGAACAACCCGGTCCAGGAGCTCCGCTTTTAGGCTTGGCTAAATTTATGTATTAATAATAATCAACTTTATTTATCGAGTGTGACACAGAACAGTAGATATACTGAATCAAAGGCCCTTTATACCTGTCTTTCGTATTGATTAACCCGCAAGTTGTCTGAACCATTTTTATCTACCACCCTTCGATCACAGGAACCTTACATTAGGAACGCAAACAATGGTTACTCAGGAATGTACCGAACTCACAACATATCCTCGTGTCAACGTGACGTTGGTCACGTGGGCACCTAGGCAAAAAAAAACAGTGGCCCTCATATAAATATTTACAGAATGAAACAGGTGAACTATTAAAACTTAAAAATATAGAAAGATTCTCAAATATGCAACGATAATATTAAAAAAAACTAAAATTTGAGACACACTAAGATAGTAAAAAGCAGAGCATTGGATCGAGTCTTAACATTTACATGCGAGTTGAGGGAGCGACGTCACTGTTTGCACATCTTGAAAAGTTTAGCCTAAATTTTTGAAGTTTGTCTTTTGCAATCCGTGTTAATCTTCTCCATCCTTGACCATCCTTGTTCCTTTTGTGTTTATTATTATCTGTTTGGTATTTTTCTCTTACCAAAAAACTATTTTCAGGTGTCCTTCAACGTTTAAAGGTATATTTGTACGTGGCCAAAATAACTCAAAATTCCGTGACTGAGCTCCTTTAAAGGTGAAATTCAATTCACTTACACGTCACTTTTCACGGTGAAAACACCATCACTGATAGCTTCAGGTGACATCCACCTCACTGGAAGTCTCTTATGTTGACCCGTTCCGCGATACACATTCTCTGTCATGGTGCTTCGAGCCAAACCAAAATCAGCCACTTTGACAAGTTTCTTTTCGCAGACCAAGACATTGCGTGCGGCCAGATCCCGATGAATGATATTCCTTCCTGACAAATATTGCTAAAAAAAGAATCATCGGTGATCACTGTGGATGCTTACCATTTACCCATGGTAAACATCTGAGTCTTTGAGAGAGTGGTAGAGATAAGTTGGTTAGGGCCAAGGCCCCCGTGGGGAGACTCACTTCTAAAAAGGACAGGGGTGCTTGTCAGAAATTTTGAAAAAAAACCCTTAGGAAGTATCACTTGAGATCCTATTTTGTGGGCGTGACTTGAAATAGTTTATTTTTTAAGACAACACCTTAACTGACACTTTCATGCTTTTTAATAAAGATAAAGACGATTGCTTCAGATACCTTCTACTCGTTAAGTTGATGGTCATATATCTCCTGTTATTCCCTTTTTTCGGCTCAATACCATAAAAAGCATCGAGAAAGCTCCCGCTATGGACCTTTTAAGGCTTGACACTCTAGGAGGTACCAAAAAGGCTTTTTTTAATCCCTAAAAGGAACGACAAACACCCCTGTCCTTTTTACATAGGAATCCCCTCGGGCAGGGTCAAGGTAAGGGCAATCACAGGGTTTTGACGCTTGGTGTTTACACCATCAAGAAAGTTCGATCAAGTTGTGGTTGTTAATTTTTACTCACCATTGCCTGTGCTATTTGCCAGGAGAAGGACAACATGTCTTGGGAAGTCAGAGAATCGTGTTCATCTTCGTCGTCATTTTGTTCTTGATTCTTATCGGCCACCAAAAACCGAGTGTTGTTTATTCTTATGTCAGTGCTGGTGTCAGTCCTCGAGAAAGCGACGTTAAGTTGGCCAGCGTCATTTCCACCAGACTCATTCTGCTGTAAGAGGTTGGGACAAAGAGAACTCACCGATAACAGAAGGACTTATGGATAGACGGAAAAAGGAAATAGTGAAGAAGTTATGCCTTGTTTATAGAGCCGAGAAGTTAGGTGACTGCCGCCATTACGAATGACTGAGATTGTGTTGGTATCTTAAGGCAAGAGAGAATGAAGGGTGAGCGAGTGAATCTCCCATATAGGCCAATTTTCCCAAGGGAATTCCTCTCAAGCTATTTTTAGACATGGTACCTAGTGCCTCCATGGATAATGTCACCACATGCGTGGCGTGAAGGATGCAAATGCGTGCTTAGTCGCTTGGGCTGTCCACGTGAGCTACAGCATTGTCTGTTTCTAGACTCTCCTGGGATTTCAGAAACCGAGAGGAATCTAAAACTAACCTCAGAGAGATACCTTGAGATTAAGGCTTATTTGGGGGGTTAACTTACTTACCCTTTATGCTCTCTTGTTTGAGAGCAATACCAAGTGAAATATTACTTACACTGCCTCCATTTTCCTGGCTCAGTAATCTTGTTGGTGGCACTGGGGGCGGGTGCTCTCGTACCTGCAGGTATGTCCCGTCCGTGATTTCAGGGTCTTTCACCTGTTTATAGGCCAAAGATCGATAAAAATCGCCTAAATTGAATCAAACTAAGGCGACTACGAAATATAAGGATAAAAACACATAGAGGAAAACTGCCTTTGGGTCCTTTTAAGGGGATGTGCGCCATATTATAATCTCCTCGCTATTTGACCATTATTGTTTATTTTAGAATTTAGCCGCCTGTACTTTGATGTCGAAGAACAAGTACCGGCTTCATAACTCCTCGGTACCACCAAGACATCTTCCAATTGTTATTCTCCAATGAATTCAAAGCACGAGCTGTCCCATAACTTGACGTTAGCTGTCCTAATAATAAACAATTGCTGGACGAGGCTGAGCAAAATATCGTGATTTGTCAGTGGAGAGCAGATCAAATTAGGGATCTGAGAGACAGTGACAAATAACGACATTTTGTGATAACCGAATTGAATCTTTGTTTTATCATTCAATCACCAAATTTGCTTTCTTATTCAAATCACTCTCTGACAGCTTAGGGGAGCAATCTTGCATATATTTTTTTTTTTACCAGAGATTATAGTTACAATTACGCATGAGCAGAATATTATTTGCAGCGAGACACATTTAGAAGGTACTACATGAGCAGACCATTTATTTGTAGGCAGTTATTTGCAGGTCATGTGGTTCGCTCTCGGCCAATGAAAAGGAAGAAAAACTGCATCGAATGATAACAATCTTTTATATTCTTCGTGGGACATTTATTTCAGACTATTTCTATATTACACTACACACGTATGTTACAACGTTTTACCTTTTTTCTTCGTTCTCTCAGATAAGAAAGCAAGTCTCCTTTTGCTGCAAACTCCACGATGAGGAAATTTGGCGTGGACTTGGTACAACAGCCAATCAAACTAACGATGTTCTTGTGTGAACCAACTGCTTTCATCAGTTTAATCTCATCTAAGAAATCGCTTTTCTGCTCAGGACTAGGATCGTCTGAAAAGTTTAAGTGTAATTACCTTAAAAATGACACAGCGGCCGAAGCTTATCGAGTTACATCACATGTTTGGGATTAGTCATTGATAATAGGCTTACATGGGCAATGCATGTAGACCATATATGTGAAGAAGTCTTTTGCACAGAAAGTGGGCGCATTAAAAAGAATGAAGAAGCTTCCCATCAAAGTGCTGGAGGAAATTTACTTCAAATCCATTGTATCAGCGGTAACTAATGGTATTGTTTTCCTCTATTGTGGACTCTTTAAACCCTGTTTAAGTAAGAGCTGCACGAGCTATCTACCAGGATGAAAACCTTGCAAAGCTAAATTGTCTGTCAATTTCTTATATATATAAAAGAAGACTCCTTCTTCTGATGCATGATGTTTTCAATGATAAAACCTTATATCACCTTTTTAATTTGAGGTTAAAGAACAGAAAATAGCGCAGGGGCGGTTTACAGATTGAAATACCTAGGGTGAAGTACAAAGTGGGAAAGGAATCAGCACAATACAGAGGTCCAGTAATCTAGAACTTTATTAATAATAGGCTGGTAAATTTCAATCATGGCAAACGTTCAAAAAGACAGTTTTAAAAATATTTTACGTAGGCTCTCACAAAACATAAATAGCTTCTCATTCGAAGCACCCATGATAGCTATGAAATTCTACGGACTTCATTTTATTGATTTGATACTGAATTTATTTTGAATCTTATTGTGGTCAGTTGTATATTTAGCTACCATATGGTAATTTTATAAATTATTTTGTTTATTATTTCACATTTTTTAGTCCATTGTAGGTCCACATCAGCCTCACTGGCTGCCAATCTTTGATGATGATAACATAATAGCCCTGGCCAGGGCTGAACCGGACTTTAGGCCCAACTCACCAGACTAAAAGTTATCTTGTTTCTACTTACATTATTTCTATCTTCGAGAATCAGGTATGTAAGACATTGCCAAGCGTCAAACGCCGTGCAAGCGACTCTATGAAGCTTATGTATTGAAGGCATTAAAGGAGCTACGTCACGGTTTGTGCATCTTGAAAAGTTTAGCCTAAATTTTTCACGTTCACCGTTTGTGATCCGTGTTAATCTTCTCCATCCTTAACAATCTTTGTTCCCCTATAGTTTGATATTATCTCTTTAGTGTCTTACTACCTTGGTAAACCATTATTTTCAGGTATCCTCCAATTTAACGTTAATTTTCTATGTGGCTAATTAGGGTTAAGGGTGGTCTTAACATAGTAAGTTCTTTGCAAGGAAGAAAAGTTCTCTCTCCTAGTCGGGTTGAATCAACATCCATTCCATAACTCTTTGTAACTTACCTTGTAGCACCTTCACCGCTACAGCTGTTGTAGATTTTACATTTTTCTTCTTTGATGAAGGCATTTTCATGGTTCCTCTGTACACTTTTCCAAAGGCACCCTGACCAAGCTCTTCAGATATAGTGACGTCATCGCTCTTTACCTCCCAACCATCATACGGGTCTTTTTGCTTTTGTAATTCGTTGTTGTTGTTGTTTTTGCTGCAACATCAATTTTTAATGTTCAAAAAAATGTTCAAATGTTGTGTTTTTCGTGGTCAATGTGGTTGGCTACACCTAGCTAGCTCGAAGGCATGTCACTTAAACTGAAAGCGACAATTCATCGACTAAACATAATAGGCTTAAAAATGCCAACTGAAGGGAGGCATAGCAGTTGACTATTTACGAGGATGACCGAGCGGTTGAACTTGGGTTTACTGAGAAATAACACCAGGCTAATTGGCCAGAGCGGGACTAGCTCTCAGGCACGCCGAGAAGAGCTAAAATCCCAAAGAAATGCGTGTGCTGGAAATAAAATAATGCCACGGAATAGTAATGTATGTATTGTAATTACAGCGAAAAAGCGGTTGCATGGACGTGGCATAAGCATTGACATAAATGAGAAGCATTGATGGTAAAGTTGTTTCTTGAGAGGAGCGGGAAACAAAGTGCAAAATATTGCAAAATGTACCTAACATTAGCCCAGGGAGAGTATTATTTCAGAAGGTTACCGTATGTCATTTCGCTCATATTTGGAGAAAGCAGAACGATTATTATCGGTCGGGAAGGAAATTTGCATTTCAATGGTAGGCTCAAGCCAGATGGAATTTTGGCCAACGAAAAAAGTGCTCTATTTCTTTAAAAAAATATTTCTCAAGAATCGAAGACGTTTACGGCTCTCATCTGAACACACCTATTGACCAATGAGAGCGCGCTTAACCTTAAAGTTATTTTATAAAGAATAATTTAAACCTTCTCTGAATCCGTCTTCTCCAAATGTAGCAAGGAACAGCTAGTCCAATGAATCCAACTGTCACGCCAGTACTAACAGATATAACGACGACGACCAGCGTAGACAAGCTGTTTGTATCCGTGCTTCTAAGTTGAGTAGCACTGGGCGCTGTTGAAGACGTGGACTGATTTTGAAATCTGGTTATGTTGCTTTCTAAAGTAAAGGAAATTAAGTTTCTTTAATTGAAAATCTCTTGGTACCTTATTTGGAAAGTGTTTTTTATATAGTCGCACCTCCGGTGAGCGACAACCCAAAATGTCAGGCCTCGGCGGTCGCTTACAGGAAATGGTCGCTTCAGGGCAAAGAACACATTGGGTCAAAATTTTGCCTCGTTGGCATAAGGTAACTGCAGAGACTTATCCATGCTTTAATTGTTTTATTCATGTGAAAAAATCCGATACTTCCCATTGAGAAATTCCCGTCCCTTGTACTATTCAGGAATGTGATAATGTCACAACAAATTATTATCCAATTTTCGCTCTATAACTTGTCCATTGGTAGCTTGCGGGAGGTTAAAAACAAGAAAATTTTACATTTTTAGCCCTAAAAATGGTCGCGATCACTTACGAGAGGTGGTCGCATACAAGAGGTTCCAAATAGAATGATTTCACTTGGAAACTTTTGTTATTTTGGAAAACTGGTTGCTGATGAGAGGTGGTCGCTTACGAGAGGTAGTCGCAACCGGAGGTTCGACCATATGTTTATTTAGAAACTTTGATCTACTATCATAACCCTGTTTTATTTTAAACCGAAAAAGAGTAATTCCTTGGCAGAGAATATTCGTGCGACTACTTATGGGATTGTTTTGAGGGACACAATTGTAATGGATGGAACCGCGACTGTGAGGAACGCTGAAAACGGCAGTGAATTCAGGCTTATAAGCTAATTGTAAGTTATGATTAGATATCAGAAGCCATCTGCCTCGTAGCTGAGTATTGTGACGTCTCCTGTCTTCTACCTTAAGTTTCATTTCATCACTGGGTTGTTTTCTCTTCATTACCTTTTCTAGAATTGTAGGAAAGCTTGAATTAGTTATGGTACTGAGTCTTAGAGTACATCTCTCTTGGTGTTCGTCTAACAGTTTCGAAACAAACTATATTTTTGCAGATCGTGCGATGCTGGAAAGAATTGGCACTTATCCTTCTGGAGTTTTTGTCAGGTTGTTTTCCACCCGAGGGGGGGGGGGGGGTCTCCCATTTATAAGGGACGGAGTTGCTCGTCGAAATTTTGGAAATAAGCCCTAAGAGGTACCAAGATCCTGTTTTGTGGCCGTGGATTGAAATTTTTTTCACCCCTAAGAGTACCAATTCTAAAACAACACATTATTTCCTGTCAAAATTTTTCGGCTCAGTACTCCAAAAGGTACCGCAAAAGCTCCCGCTCTGGACTATTTGAGGCGGGGGGACGTTTTTGACACCAAGACGTACCAAAACCGCTTTTTTCACCCTTAAAAGGTACGACGAGCACCTTGTCTTTATATGGGAGTTCCCCTCCGGGATTTTCTTTTCTTGGTAGCTCTTTGCGCCTGAAGAATCGGACTGTTTTCTGATTTAACTTACCTTCTGGAATAGTAGTGAAAAGTAAAAGAAATCCTTTTCTTTCTTCAAGTTCATCTGTGTGGAATGTCAGCACAGCATAGTCGCCAGTAACAAGAGCTGTCTGTCCGGTTTTCTTTCCACAGTGTTTACCAAGGTTGAGGTTGTTCTCGTTATTAATCGAAGTAATCATCAAATAGTCA